GGAGTGCACACGTGGAAGTTACCGTAACCAAATATGAAGTTGCTGGGTTGCCTTGAACCCACCTTCCTGAGCGGAAGGGAAGATCTCTGCAGATGAAGCGGTTGGCTGTTAGAATCACGTGCATCTGCGCGTCACGGTTATCCGCTCTGAGAAGTGGCTGGGAAGGCAGTGCTGGTTTGAGCGCAGCGTGTGAGGGGAAACAGCCCTGACAGTCGGGCGCTTCCTTGGAGAGCGGTCCCACCCAGTGAACACACGTGTGACTTAGTCAAGGTTGGAGTTTGGATGCCAATGCTGCCACTGGTGGTGAGACCCAGTTTCCACTCGTCTCCCACTTCCAGAGAGAGCCCCCCCTCCCCCTCCCGCGAGGGGCGCCTGGCAGAGCAGGCCCCGTCCAACCTTTCTTCCACACAGTCTGGTCCGTACAAGAAAGCAAGACCATTCAGCCCACGGCTCAGAACATGCTGATCCCCCGCACCAGGTGCTCTGGTGCAGACTCGCAGGGCTGCCTCAAAGGGCGCCGACTTGTGCTCCTGACAGCAGCTGGGCAGCTCCCGGGTGCTCAGGGCCAAATCCGGGGTCTCCGCCCCGCTGGCTGCACCTCTGCTGTCTGGCATTCACTTGCAAAGTGTGACCTTGTCTTTTATTTCAGTGTCCCTGTTGTCATCAGGCTGTGGGTCCTGCTAGGGACTCCTGGCCCCGAGGCCGACCGCGGGCTCCCAGGGCATGTCTCCTTGTGCACTCAGACTGACGGACATGCTGTCTGTCTGCTGTAGACGTAGAGTCACCTCAGCTCAATCGACCACAGCAGCAGTTGCAACCCCTCCACAGCTTCCAGAGAACATATTTTCTTTGCAAAATGGCCTGAAGCAGAGCAAAGGGTTTAGTTTGAAGGCTTCGTTGCAGAAACATCTTTGCCTGTTAATTGTTTACCCATCAAGTTTCTTAAATGCTCCGCAGCTTTAGTCACCCTCAGAGGTAAAGGAATGTTAATAAAAGTGAGCATCTATAGATGCGCCTCCTGCACCGGGTTCTGTGCTGAGCGCTTCCCAGGGATCCTGTACTGACTTCTCTGGAAAAGCCTTGAGGCAGGTGTCCAGTCACTCGGCTGGTTGAGTCTCAGAGCTGGACTCACTCAGCCTGGGCAGTCGCTCTGACCTCCGGCCTGCTGCCCGGCATGCCCACGTCAGAGGACTTGCTGTGGGGATTGACTGAGGGGGTCTAGACAGTGCTCAGCAGGCCCGGCCAGAATCATTCAAACTTGAGAGCTGCTGCCCTTTATCAGGAGCTCAGTCACCAAGAAGGCTCTGGGGATGCGAGGG